GTGGCCAACATGGCCATAGAGCAGCAGACTGTCTGGCCCCTGCTCCTGTACCACAAGCACCACAATCGAAGTCTAGTACAGCTGGTAGAGGTCGGAAAAATCAAGGAAGACCTCCAGACATTAGCCGGTTTGCTAGACACCGCTGGGAAAGTCCCTTCTGCACAGATGGGAGCAACGGACTACCAGGCCGGCACCACGTCCCCGAGAACCTGACCAGTGAAGACGACCCAATGGTGAGTGATCCCATCATACCTTTCAGAGTCAAGGTCAAGTTAGTGGTACTGAACACAGGGGAGGCCAGGGAGTTAGAAGCCATCATTGATACTGGGTGCTCTAGATGCCTTATCGGACTCCCTATCAAACAATTGGGCATAAAGACTAATCCACTAAAGCACCCAATCAGATTTGAGCAAGAGGATGGGTCATTAATTGGGGGGACCCCAGCCACCCAATTGACAGAATTGATCAAGATGGAATTAGGGCCCCACCGTGAGCTCATACGCTTCATAGTGGCCCCTAGGATGTCAGAATCAATCATATTGGGACTTGCTTGGCTAGACAAATGGGCCCCTACGATCAAATGGGAGGATGGATTCAGGAAAATCCTCATTGGACTGGGCCCATTGCCCTCTCTTCCTCCCACTACAAAACCACCAGTCAACTTGAACCCAAAACCTGAGCCAGCATCCACAGCATCCCACCTTCCACCAGATAAACCCTAGATGCCCAACCAATACAAAGACTTGGCTGAAGCATTCAGTGAAGAAGAGTGTAATGTTTTACCTCCCCATCGAGCCACTGATTGCACCATAGAATTAGAAGGGGGGCTCCCACAGAGTTTATGCAGCTCATCAATGAGGTGCTACACCCGCACCTTTATCGGGGGGTCCTCGTATACCCAGATGACATCCTTATCTTCAGTGAAACCATGGAAGAACATGTTCAATTGGTCCGACAAGTCCTAGAAAAACTAGTCATCAAATTATATGTGAAACTCTCAAAATGCTAATTCCACAGAGTCGCTGGATTATTTAGGCTACCGAATATCCAACCTGGGAATTGAAATGGACCCCAGAAAGGTGAAAGCAGTGCTGGACTGCCAACCCCACAGAACCCGAAAACAACTTCAAAGTTTTTTAGGGTTTGCCAACTTCTATAGACAATTCATTCCATCCTTTGCTGAAGTTGCCCTCTCATTAACGGAGTTATTAAAAATGGGCCTGTCACCCACCAAACTGAAGCCAAATCAACCCCTGGCTTGGACCATGGACTGTCAGAAAGCTTTTGAGACCTTAAAATGCCTCTTTGCAACTGAGCCCATCCTCCAACACCCAGACGCAACCAAGCCTTTTATTGTCCAAACTGATGTGAGCGATGTAGCGGTGGCAGCAGCTCTACTGCAAAAAGACTCAAAACCAACTGATGCCTTGCGCTTATGTGTCCAAAAAACTAACTGACACAGAATGAAGATGGGCATGCTGGGAGAAAGAAGCATTTGCCATACGATGGGCTTTATTAACTTGGAGGCATTTCCTAGAAGGTGCAGGAGCCCTTCGAGGTATGGACTGATCACAAAAACCTCGAGGCTCTAAAGACCCCTAGGAGATTATCTCCCAAACAAGTCCGATGGGCCCAATACTTCAAGCGGCTCAACTTCAACATTAAATATATCCCCGGAGGGAAAAATGTATTGGTGGACGCCCTGAACAGAAAACCTCAGTTTGACAGCCACCAAGAGGAAATAGTACAAGCCTTAATTTCAGGAGCTCAATCTGCAGGCCAAGTAACCACTCAAGCACAAGCCAACCGCAACCCCAAATGCCTGGAAGATAAGCTGAACGCAGAATTGAAAACTGCCCTATTGACCAATCCTTGGTTCCTGGACCATCAAAACGAGTTAACAGTGAATGAGGGACTAGCTTGGAAAGGGACTAAATTTTATGTACCCACAACCCTAAGACTACTGGTACTAAAGTGTAGCCACAACTTTGCATTCTTAAAAACCACTTTGCATTCTTAAAAACCCTACATTTACTAAGAAGACATTCTGGTGGCCAAAAATGAAACCTGACGTCAAGGACTATGTTAAAAGTTGCTCAGTTTGTGCCACAATGAAACGCAGAACTGGAAAAACCCCTGGCCTCCTTCAACAAGTCGCTGAACCAACCCAACCCTGGGAAGAAATGGACTTTATTGTGGAATTACCTGAGAGTGAAGGGAATATGATCATTTGGACTGTAATTGATTTATTCTCTAAACAAGCCCACTTTTTAGCCTGCAAAGGACTTCCATCTGCGAAAATGCTTGCAAAGTGTTCATGAAACATATCTATAGACTACAGAATAATATCGAATAATATAATAATATAATAATATCGTAGAATAATATCAGACAGAGGGGTACAGTTTACCGCAAAATTTTGGAGGGAATTTTTGAAGTCCATTGGGTCCTCCCAAGGATTATCCTCAGCTTTCCATCCGGCTTGTAATGGAGCAGCGGAGAGGGCTAACGCCATGATTGAACAATACATTAGATGCTATGTAAATTATCAACAAGAAAATTGGGCTAAGTTATTACCTTTTGCAGAGGTTGCTTACAATAATGCAGTACATAGCAGCACAGGATTGACTCCATTCCAAATCAACACTGGAATGGACTGTGTCCCGATGCCAGAGTTACCTAGATCAGCGGTTGCCAACCAGTGGGCCGTGGAAAATTTTTGGTGGGCCGCAGAAGAAATGCCCCCCAAAAGCAATTAATCTGGGCCGCACAGTTCTTGTGCCTCCCGGCTCTCCGAGGGACCCCAGAGTCAGGTCCCTGAGATGCATGTGCCAACCAACTCCTATACCCAGCGGCGGCGGCAACAGCAGTCCCCTCCCCCAGCGCCTGCTGTCAGCTCTTCCCCATTATTTCTCTAGCTTTGAATTGCTCCCGGCTCTCTCTCTTTCCTCCCCCCCCCCCCCCCCCCACATGCAGGCAGGAAAGGAAAGGGAGATGGAGCCATGCACAGTTCTCCCCTTTTTCAGCCCTTGCTTCCTCTCCCAACATCGAAGCCTCGGAAATCCAGGCAAAACCGCCACAGCAGTAGAGTCCTGAGTTGCCTTAGCATGCTCGGTTAGTTAAGAATCGCCCTACCCAGAGAAGGAAGTGGTGCTGGAGGAGGAGAAGGCAGTAGTGGAGAAGCAAGCAACTCAGGGCGCTACCGCTGTGGCGGCTTCACCTGCATTTCTGAGGCTTCGATGTTGGGAGAGACAGCAAGGGCTGGAAAAGGGGAGAGCTGTGCACAGCTCTGTCTCCCTTTCCTTTTCTGCCTGCACGTGGGTGGGGGGAGGAAAGAGAGAGAGCCGGGAGCAATTCAAAGCTAGAAAACTAATGGGGAGAGCTGACAGCGGGTGCTGGGGGAGGGGACTGTTGTCGCCGCCTCCGTGTGTGGGAGCATGCATTTCAGGGACCTGAGCCGGGAGGCACGGGAACTGCAAGTGGGAGCGTTTGATGATTTCGAAGAACTCCTGGAACACGATAGATTGGTGTTTTGTAGGTCTCAGTGAAAGAGTGAGCTTTGTTTCGTCTCCTTTCCTCCCCTGGTAATGCGAGATATGCTTTTTTTCCCCTCCACCCCCAAATAATCACTGGTTGTGGCTGGGTTTGGCAGCAAAGTTCTAAAGTGAGCGAAGTGCCCCCAGGGACACTTTTCCTTGCCTGTCTCCAGGTGACTAGAAGAGCCCCCCCCCCCCCGCTTTTTCTTGGCTGCAGATCTGAGCCTCTCAATCTCCACCCAGGATCTGAAAGGAGCTCCCACTTTCTCCCCCTCCCCTCCCCCAATTAATCACCAAGAGCGGCAGTCCTTCTGCAGGCAGATGCCTGCTGAGAAGCCACTGGAGTGGCAGCCAAGGGGCGCTGCCCCCCAAGGAGAGAAAATTCAATGATTCTTGTAATGTTTTGTAAAATTCTGCCGGAAGTCCATCTGGGCCTGGTGTCTTTCCATTATTTTGTTTCTTAAGTGCTTCAGTTAACTCCATCGTTATATTACTTTCTAACATAGTTTCAATCTCTTTAGGTATCTGGGGTAAATTAGCATTCTGTAAATACTGTTTAACTCTTTCCTCATCAATATTCTCTTATGTGTATAGTTTCCCATAATAATCTCGAATAATTTCCTTCTTCTCTTTACTACCATAGCAAACTTGGCCTTGGTCATCTATTAATTGCAATATTTTCCTTGATTCTTTCTCCTTTCTCAATTTATATGCTAACCATCTACCTGGTTTATTTGCATCTTCAAAGTAGTTCTGTTTAGCACCTCTAATTTTTTGTGCTAATTCTTTTTCTATTAGACCCATTTTATATTTGGTTATATCCATTTTTAACTTAATGTCCTTTCTCTGTGGCATTTTTTGTAGCTCTTTTTCTAGTCCTCTTGTCTCAGAGTGATTGATTACAATGGACAATTCTGGATGCCTAACACCTCGCTGATTTATGTTTTCTTTGTCTCCCCTTCCCTCTTTTTTTTTTCTTTTAGGTGGACTTCCCATTTTTCTAGGGGAGTGCGGCATGTCAGGTCCAATATATTTCTATTGGGATGCTGGCATTCTAGTGTGAGGGGGGAGGATTGTAGAGATCTCTATATGAAGTTTCTGTTTCTGTTTCTTGCATTGCTGTACTTGGGAAGGGTTTTGTTTGCACTGCTTTAAATTACTGTTTTTAAGTGGGAAAATTTAGTTCATGCCAAGATCTCTTGCTATCATAAGCCTTTAAATAAAAGCCCCTTTTGGAACAACTTCAGTTTCAAGAGTCCCGCTTTCTTGGGAAGATTGGTGAGGCAAGACCTTACAAATATCTAAAATTAAAAGAAACTTTCCTTGGACTGCTTTTATATTAATCCATAAAGTCATTAGTAGTACACAAATTTGCTTCTCTAAGTAAATTTATCCTACTGTTAAACAATGTAAATTTTGACATTGTGATGGCATAAGGTGACAGTATTGGATTTGGTATTGTAGGAAGATCTTCGAGTTGATGGCCGTGGCTGTGAAGATTATAGATGTACAGAAGTGGAAACAGATGTGATATCTAATACAAGTGGCTCTGCTAGAGTAAAACTTGTGAGTATATCTAACATTATATCCTGTCATTATATTCACTAATTTTATATAATCAGCACATTTCATTACTTAAGAATTCTAGTATAAGATGCTATATTTAAGTTAAAAATTAAATAATGGCTCTTATAGGTCAGAATGTACTTGGTATGAAAATTCAAGAAATATTATTTTCAATTACCAAATTGTGTTTATGCTAATTGGCAAGTGGAAGAAATTGCTACAAGAATAATCTAGACCTTATTTATAGATGTTCTCGGGGCCTCACTCCCAATAAAACAAGACTAACTCCATGATAGCTGCGTACATTTTTGTGAACAAATGCTGGACAGAGAGCAAGCATTATGAGTTTTTGAACATAAAGTAACATAAAATATAATTAACAGCTGTTATACAGCTATATGGGTATTGTTTTCTGCTCAAGCAGGTTTTTTTCCTCAAGCAGAAAATAATTCCCTAATCAATGAATTACCAAGGAGAAAATCACATCCCCATCAACACTGAGAGGGTAAACTACTGTATATAAACAGGGAGCAAGCTTTATACTCACTAGCACTGATAGTTATCTATTTTAGTAATGTCTACAAATGAATAACCAAGGTCCTCAGGGAGCACCAAGGATTCTACAGTTAAACCCAGAGCCACCAAACCAAACCACCAAAACAATCATATGGTTTTGGAACCATTTGAAGAGCACTGGGTGCCTATTTTTTGTTTACTAAGTGTTGTGTGATTCATGGAAATATCTAAATATCTAATAGCTATGCAGATAGATAGGGTATTAACAGCCCTTAGTTATACAAGTCTACCTAATACTGAGTTTGGTTAGTTATCTGAGGGAATTGAAAATGTTTAAAATTGCCTTTTTTTTCAGAGTTCATGTTTTAAGGAGAATTGCTGGATAATGCTGATTCATGTGGAAATATAAGTTTGTAAGATTAAATAACTTGGAAAACGTATCTATCTCTGTTATAACAGGGGCACACAGACATCCTGGTTGGAGTCAAAGCAGAAATGGGAACCCCAAAGCTGGAGAAACCAAATGAAGGCTGCTTGGAATTCTTCGTTGATTGGTTAGTTTAACTATTCATAGTGGAGGCTTGTTTTTGATAATCATCAGGTAAAAATCATCTTGAGAGCTAGCTACATATGGTGGTTAAGCATTATGATATTTATAGGCCCAGACTCTCTCCCCTTCAAATGATAAGAATAAACTTCTGAAAACGGGGTATTTCAAAAGGAATTCTTTATTGAAAAGGAAGTTATCCAGGTAAAGTCAAAGCAGGGTCTAATATGCCTTCAGGCATGCAGCATAGATAAAGGAAGTTAGAACCCCTCCCCTTGGTCTGATGTGGATTTTGTCAATACAAAGAAGCAATATGTTAATTCCCCCCCCTTTTTTTTTTCCTGGGAACGTAGTTGAAAAAAGTTTCCCAGGAAGTTTCTTTCAGAGCTGGAATTTTTATGGCCCCTTCTCCTCTTGCTATCTCTCCAAGAGGTGATAAGTTTCCAGGCATCTGGGCTTCAGTCCCCAGTTGTATATCATGTGCAAGTTATACAGATTCAATACAAGACTTAAGATATTCAGGTTACATCAAAAAAGGATTACTTGTACCAACTCCCCCCCCCCTTCTTCTTCCATTGAAGAATGGCAGATACACGGATCTGACAGATTGCCCTCCTCAAAAAATTGAGAAATCCACCTGGAAGACATAAAACATGTGTTACATTTACAACTTAGGATGGTTTGTGAGGGTATTTCAGGTGGAACTTCCGTAGTAATGTGGGGGCTTTCACATGTTGTTGGGCTACCCACTTATTTTGTGAGGAGGGAAGGTGTTTCCAAGCTATTGTGTGGATCCACGGTGAGTGCGCGAATCAAGGATATCTTTAATTTCAAAATGTTGCTCCTCATGTACCATAATGGGAGGGGTGGGAAGGGGTGGGGGGGTTAAGTTTTGAAGTGATCTCTGGTTTGAGTAGGCTACAGTGAAATACTGGATGAACCTGTCTAAGTGTTTTGGGAGGTAGAAGCTCTGCAGTAACAGGATTGATAATTCTGGAAATGGAAAATGGACCAATGAATTTAGGTCTCAGTTTCTTAGAGGGTTGCAATGAATTTAGGAACTTTGTAGACAAATATATGCGGTCTCCAACTTTGAATGGTTTAGGATCACAGCGTTTGTTGTCCGCTTGAGATTTAAAAGCTGCTCTAGCCTCTTGTAAGGCTAGTCTGAACACTGGCCAAGTGGTTTGCAAATAATTATTATTTTTTTGTTAAATTTTAAAAATTTTATTGAACAAACACACACAAAAACATTAATCATTTTTTATATTTTTTATCCTTCCTAGTTTCCAACCAGTGATAAAACTTTCCCCATATTTTCAGAATCAGAATCATCCTTAATTTTTAATTCTTGTGTCAATTTGTCCATTTCTGCACAGATCCAAATTTTCCTAATTATTTCTATTTCATCTGGAATTTCCATTTCCATTTTTGGGCATAAACTAATCTTGCAGCTGTGATTACATGGATTATTAAATATATTATATCTTTGTTGTATTTTTCCACATTAATTCCCAATAAGAAAAAATTCGGGTCTATATTTTATTTTAGTTTCGCATATCTCTTCTAACCATTTTTGGATTTTCTGCCAAAACATTTGGGCTTTCTTACAATTCTACCATAGGTGATAATACGTTCCATTTTCCTTATTACACTTCCAAATATAGGGGATAGATTTCAGTACATTTTAGCCAATTTTGATGGTGGATTATGCCATCTATAAAACATTTTATATAAGTTTTCTTTAAATGATGTAGCCAAAGTTATTTTTTTGTTTCGATCCCATAAAGTTTGCCATTCATCCAAATTTATATTATGCCCAAAGTCTTTCATCCATGCCAACATTGTTTCTTTTACTTTTTCTTCCTCTAGTTTACATTCCAATAACACTTTATACATTTTCTTACAGATACAGATTACAGATAATCAGAGTTGGAAGGGACTTGTAGGTCATCTAGTCCAACCCCCCGCGCAAGCGGGAGACCCAACACAATTTCTGACAAATGGCAGTCCAATCTCTTCTTGAAAGTCTCAACTGATGGTGCTCCCACAACTTCTGAGGGCAAGCTGTTCCTTTGGTCGATTGTTCTCACTGTCAGAAAGTTTCTCCTTGTTTCCAGGTTAAATCTCTCCTTGTTCAGTTTCCATCCATTATTCCTTGTCTGGCCTACAGGAACTTTAGAAAATAGATTGACTCCCTGTGGCAGCCCCTCAAATATTGGAAGACCGCTATCATATCTCCCCTGGTCCTTCTCTTTAGTAGACTAGTCAAGCCCAGTTCTTGCAACCGTTCGTTGTATGTTTTAGCCTCCAGTCCCCTAATCATCCTGGTTGCTCTTCTCTGTACTTTAGTTTCTAGAGTCTCAACATCTTTTTTATAATGTGGTGACCAAACCTGGATGCAGTACTCTAGGTGTGGTCTTACTAAGGCTTTATAGAGTGGTATTAGTACCTCCCTTGATCTTGACTGTATCCCTCTGTTAATACAATTTAGAATTGCGTTAGCTTTTTGGGCAGCTGCTGCACACTGCTGGTTGTCCACTAAGACTCCAAGATCCCTCTCACAGTTACTGCTATTGAGCCTGGTTTCACCCAGTCTGTATGTGTACTTTTGGTTTTTCTTGCCTAAGTGTAGGACTTTACTTTTCTCTATATTGAATTTCATTTTATTAGATATGGCCCAGTGTTCTAGCCTGTCAAGATCCATCTGGATCTTGAGCCTATCTTCTTGGGTGTTAGCTATTCCTGCCAATTTAGTATCATCTGCAAATTTGGTAAGTTCCCCTTCTATTCCCTCATCTAAGTCGTTAATGAAGATATTGAAGAGTACTGGGCCTAAGACGGAACCTTGTGGCACCCCACTGCACTGTTTTTAACAAACCCGTGCTGACTGCTAGTTATTACTTTACTTGTTTCTAGATGTTGGCAGATCTGTTTTTTTATTATCTTTTCCAGTATCTTCCCGGGTATTGATGTTAGGCTGATTGGTCTATAGTTTCCTGGGTCTGTTTTTTTCCCCTTTTTTGAAGATGGGAACCACATCAGCTCTTTTCCAGTCCTCTGGTAGTTCCCCGGTGCTCCAGGATTTTTGAAAGATATGGTGCAGTGGTTCTGAGATGACTTCTGCCAGCTCCTTTAAAACTCTGGGATGTAATCCATCAGGCCCCGGTGATTTGTTTTCAACAAGATCAGACAGGTGTTCTCTTACTATTTTTTTGCTTATTTTAACTTTTATTTCTGGATTCTCTTTTACAGTTATGTTTTTGGTGGGTTGAGCTATAATTTCTTTTTGCATGAAGACAGATGCAAAGAATGAGTTAAGTAGTTCTGCTTTCTCTCTGTTGCCTGTTACTTCCTTGCCATCTTCTCTCTTTAGTGGACCGACTGTTTCCTTGATTTTTTTCTTGTTATTTATATGTTGGAAGAAACTTTTTTTATTATCTTTGACTTTTGTTGGAAGTCTTTGTTCGTTCTGAGCCTTTGCTATCCTGACTTCGTCTTTGCAGATTCTGGCTATCTGCTGATATTTCTGCCTTAGTTGTATGTCCTTCTTTCCATTTTTTGTACTTGTCCTTTTTTTCTTTCAATTTGCCAGAGAGTTCTTTATGTAGCCATGCTGGGTTCTTCTTGGATTTCTTGTTTTTCTTTCTCAGTGGTATTGTGCTGGTCTGGGCTTCTATGATCATAATTTTTAGAGTTTCCCAAGATTCTTGAGTTGTTTTCCCTTTAGGATTTTCATCCATGGAATCTTTCCCAAGTTCTTTCTGAGTTTATTGAAATCAGCTCTTTTAAAATCCAAGACTCTGGTGTCATTAGGTTCTGTTGCTTGTGTTTATGTTATGTTGAATTCTAGTATGACATGGTCACTCTCACCCAAGGTTCCTGCAGTTTCAACTCCCTCTATCACTTCTTCTCTGTTTGTAAGAATTAAGTCCAGTATGGCTGTCCCTCTAGTTTCACCCTCTACCTTTTGGACAACAAAGTTGTCAGCTAGGTTGGTTAGGAACTTATTTTATTTCTCACTTGGTGCAGAATTAGTTTTCCAGTTGATATCAGGATAATTGAAGTCTCCCATTGTTGTGTGTTTCCTGCATATGTTTGTTAGTTGGCTGGCAAAAAGGACATCTATTTTTTTCTGCTTGATTGGGTGGCCTATATTATATACCTATGGCCATGTCATTCTTTTTTTCTTTTATATTGACCCATATGCATTCTAGGAGGTTTTCATCTTTGGTTTCATGCATTTCTGTAGCAATATAGTGGTCCTTTACATATAGTACAACTCCACCTCCTCTTTTATGGGGTCTGGTTTTTTTGAATAGTTTGCATCCTTCTTTCAATATCTTTCAGTCATGGGTTTCATCCCACTAAGTTTCTGTTATTCCAGCTATATCATATTTACCTTCATGTATTCGTAGTTCGAGTTCACCCTGCTTGTTCCCCAGACTTTGTGCATTTGTATATAGGCACTTGAGATCTTTATGTCTGACACTGTGTTTACTGTCTACATAAACTGTGTTGTGCCTGCCTGTCCCTACTTTCTTGCCACCTGTTTGATTAGTGCACATGGTATGGCACTCACTATTAAATGCTTGGTTTTGGTTGGCATAATCTTACCTGCACACACATCTATTTTGCATGCACTGGTATCCTTATCAGTTTTAGGTTGCTGGGAACAGAGATGTTCTGAATCCATTAATTCTCTGTCTCTGCTGTTCAGTTTAAATGGTTATCCAGGAAATCTGTTAATTTAATGCCAAGTAACTCAGTCCCTTTCTTTGATGGATGCAAACCATCTCTTTTGTACAGTTTTTCATTGGACCAGCTGCGAACATCATGACTAATAAAACCAAAGCCTTCCCTTTTACACCACTCCTTTAGCCACACATAAAACTCTGCTACACACTGCCCTTTCCCTTTTTGTTCTTTGTATCCTGGTAGAACCTCTGAAAAGATAAGCCTACAGTCCATATTACTGTTCATACCCCAAGCTCTGGAAGTCTTTCT